CCAAAATCTAAACTCACTTTAATATAATGTTAAATATCACTTGCCGTACTTGCTGTAGTTTAAGCCCTAGCAAACTCCAGTTAAGAAAATCTCTTGCTGCTTGATTATTTATTTCAAAATACAGACATCACTTAATCCCCGACTGTTATAAATCACACACATGAGTATACGAACAAAACGCGTCCAACCGCTCGTTTCAAACTTATCGTTATTCTGGCTTTTAATTAAAATTTAAAAAACCAATTACAACTGCGACAAGATTTAATAACAGTAGCAGTAGCAGCGGCAGCAGCATGGCAGGGTGCGAAAAAAATGGGTTAAAATTACATAAATTTTGCAGAAAATATGAAGCAGCACATACAAAAAAAAAATAGTGAAAAGAGTGTCAGACCTGAAAGATCCTGAAGTGAAAGAGAGAGCAAGGAGAGAGATAGATATACTAAGGGAGAGAGAGAGAGAGAGATACAGGAGACAGCGACAAGAAGACACGAAATGGACATGGTCGTGAACGTGAAAGGGGAAAAGGACAAGTCCAGCTCACACATACTCGGAAATGTATAAAGGATGAAATTTTGCGGTTACGCACACAAACACAAATACAAACACACTGACACACACACACACACACACATATACATGCCCGAAAACATGCACATCAATGTCAGCGAAAGAGCTGAATAGGAAATGGTTCCTGGTTCCTGGGGATGCCAAGATTGGGTTGTGGCTGGCTTCTAGGGCCGCTTGTCAAATGTTGGCACCAGTTTGAGCTTCTCGTTTTGGCGTTTTCCTGCAGTCACTCGACTGATTTAAAATGTTACCGTTATTTATACACGTAGACCAGGCTATATAAACAGCGGGAACAGGAGCAGCAGCAGGACTAGCTCCCTTTTTTATCCCTTGCCTCTCCTTTTTCCCCCAAGAGAATATCGCGTATATTTCTTCTTTTACCCATTTTTCATCGTTTACGGTGTGCCAGTGTGCGTGTGTGTTTGCTTGTGTGTTTGTGTTTTGTGTGTGTGTGTGGTAGTAGTAGAGCTGCAGGACGAAAGCATCCTGCAAGTGACTGACTTGCGACTCGCTAGCTGGAAAAGCAGCAGGGGCAGCAAATAGAACCGAGGAGCTGTAACAACACCTCGCATCGCATCTCATCCTTGGCTCTTGCTGTTCGCTGTCAAAAGAGATTTTTTCAAATTAACTTTTCATATAAATATGTACGTTTAAATTTTCAGCTCAACCCCGCTTTGCCTCAGAAATCAGAAAACATACATAACATTTTGGTAGTAGAGTAAACGATGGGAGAAGGTGAACTCGTGAAAAATAAAATAAAATATTACTTTCGCTAGGTAAATACGTTTTTAGTAATAATAAAACATAAAAATGTATTTATTTGTTAAGCTTTTCTAATTATTTTTCCTCATATTTTAGTAAAAATGTTAAACATTTCGTTTACCCACTGTAATAATATTTCTTTCAGAACTTTGCCATAGCCAATTTCACTCTTTGCCTTCTGGCTCCTGACTGAATCTGTCATAAACGCTTGACTTGCTAAAAAAAATCGTAGAAGTTACAGTAAAACTTAGAAAAATAAAGCAGAAAAGTCAAACTATATATTATTTTTCATATATCTTAGAAACTGTATGCAAAGCATTTGGGAATTCTCTTCCATAAATTAAAATAAAGCTGAAAATGTTGCGTTTGGTTTTGGTTTCTTCTGCTGCTTTTGTCTCACATGCATTTTTCAAAAGGTAAACAATATTTTACCTAAAAATATTTGATATTATGTCAAAAGTTTTTTTACCAAAAGAAGTGAAATAATCTTGAAGAGAAGAAAAGTAAGTTTCTTTTTTTGATATTAAGTAGGATTATTAACAAAATATTTGTAATAATCTGTGTGTAAACTAAATCCATGTGGCACTTTTTAGTTGTGTTTTTATATCCTGAAAACATAGATTATCACTTTCTAAGTCTGCAATACCCCAAAAAGTAAGTTAATATTTCAAATGGTAATTAAAAATTTGTTTCCACCTTTCACCTAGACTTCAAATACCCTTGACGAGGGCATTAAGTGCGTCACATGCCGCTACACCTCATTTAATGCAAATGCTAAATTATGAAGAAAATTAAAAAGAACTGAAAACAAAGGGACCTAAAACATTAACGAAAAGAAGTAAAAAAAATAGCGACCATAAATAGAGAAAAGAGCTCACAGCTCATTGGACCCTTGGCCGCTGTCTTTGTGGAATCCATTAACTTTATTAAGGATCTTTAATTAGTTACCCCCAACTGTCCCAGTGCCTACTTTTCATTAATTACCGGTGCGACCTGCTATGAAGACTATATAAAGTTCAGGGGGGAAGTCCCTTTCTAAGCCATGAGATGAGCCGAAATGAGTCGAGCCAAGGCAACCACTTAAGGACACTTCTTACCTTTTGATGACCGCCTGCGGCCAAATAAATTACAAACAGCGACTACAATGAAAACTGAAGGAGCAGTAGAGTAGGATGAGGACGAGGAACAGGCGGGGCTGACTGGCACTCCAGAGTTTTGATTGAACACTCGCATCCCAACTTTTGACGTTAATCTTTGATTGAAGGGGGCGACACCGACAGCAACGGCAAAGGCGACGGCGTCGTTTTCGCTGACACTTCATTATGTGATTTTAATATGAATACATATATATATATATCTATATAGCAACGTACAACAATGGCCCACCAAAATGGAGGGTAGTTTTTTGGACCCAGCGATGGAATCTCATTTGGACCCCCGTAAACGTTTGATCTTAATTAGTGTACTTGAACGTTCTTCCCTTCGTCTCATTCCTCCGCCATGAAGTTCGAGTGTCGGCTTTGCATCAGCGAAAATGACAAAATGTCGCAAATCACTCGGGTTTGGCAATGGAATGGGAGGTCCTTGATTGGCATCGTTTTCCTCCCGATTTCGCTCTTGCCTTTGCCTTTTGTCTAAGCGGATTTCATTCGCATATTAATTGAACTTTACACAGCAGAAAAACTCGCCTAACTAATTAATAAAAAAATGTATTAAATTCCCCCAGAAATAAGATTTAAGAAAGTTTTAAACATCTGCCCAACTCTACTTTGTGTTTATTTATTATTTATCTAAGATATCCTTAATTTTCTCAGTGCATTGTCACTAAAATACCTAATAGACGGCGGTGGGGTCATTGAGTTTCGCGTCAAAATGTCAAGCACACTGGCGAGCTTAGTGTGGGTAAATATTTTTCAATTAAAATCGCTGCCCGGCTATTTGCTCAGCACTTTAGCAACACGCATAAAAATTTAGTGGACTCATAGTCACAGGTATTTTGATACCAATAAAGGAGGAGGTACCGCGAGATTTCATTAAGGCATTTCGAAGGAGGAATGAGGATTCATTCAAGCATTCTACAAAGGTAATAGAGAAAATAATGGAAAATCCCTAAGAATCGGCAGGTAATAAGGGAGAACTCTGACTGGTAATTAACTTAATTAAAGAAAAAAACTAATTACGATTTTAAATGAAAGAAATATAATTTTAAAAATAATACTCTTAGCAACACATTTGGAAAAACCAAACCACAATAATCAGTGCCCTTTGGATGAAAACTTTTGACCAAACGAAACTTTTCATAACTCATTTTACAGTTGAGCGAGTTCAAGTGGCCACCTCCCTGTGGACACAACATCAAGCATACGCCATGTTATCAACGTTTAAAGCATATTTCAGCCACACACTTAATTACCCGAAAAAGCCAAGTCGGAAAAAGCTGAAGCTGTTGTGCTGGCTCTATCTAAGGACCCAAACTCCTGCCACCAGAATTGCGGTGCTTAACTTTTCAACTGCAGCAGCAGTAGTAGAAAATGGAAACCTCGGTGGCAACAAGAACAACGATCAAGCAGCAAATGCCCTGCAAAGTGTCGATAATTACCTGTAAAAGTTTGAGCCAAACCATTAGCAGCATAATGAGGCCTGTCTAGCATAGATTTCCCCAGTCGGACCCAAGCAGCCATTTCTATCGTGTGGCGCATTTGCTAAATCCCTCTGTCCCTTACCTCAAAAGAAAAACAACAAAAGCAGCAACAAAAACAAACAAAAAAAAAAAAAAAAAATAACAAATACCAAAACACAACTAAAACTTTCACCCATTTGAACTTGAGGCCAAGTGCGGGGGAAAGTAGTAGGGGCAAGGAAAAAGCTGGAGCCAGAGTAAAAATAATGGCAACAACCACACTTGACTGGCGTTGAGTGGTTCATAATTAAAGGGGAAAACCCCAAAAAAGCCTTGAACTCATTCAACTGGCTGTGGCTGCATTGCGTGCAGTTTGGCCCGAAAGTTGGCCAAGTTGCCCAGGCCGCACAATTGTTGCACGCACAGCACAGCCCGACCACAATCAAGTGGAGTGGAAAAATGCCTATGGGCGTGTCCCCATCTCGAAGGCTAACTGCACTAGGAAAATCAAAGAAAATCTTAAAAGCAAAAAAATATTTTTAAGATTTATAAAGCTAAAATATTCAAAAAGTCAGCCTAAAATTTTACAAAATTTTTATAAATTTTAAAAACAATATTTCGGTTTAATTTGAAGTACAAAAATAAGGAATTTCAAAGCAAGTAAAGTTACTTTTCAGTGTACAAATTTGTTTGATTGCATATGCATATAAAGACATACACCTCAACACATATTCATATTTCCATTGGGTCCTGGCCAAGTTTTCCATGGACTCTAATTACCATCTTTGACTTGAAGTTGGCGTGGCCGAAAGCAACTTTCTGCCTGGGTTAATTTCTTAATACTGCACTTGATGGCTGTTGCCTACTTTAGATCGAAATTAGAGTGTAGAATGATTTGTGGCGTTGTTGAACTTGAAAGTGGTTAAGGATGGGCTTATGACTTGCCTTTTTGTATAGCCATGAATAGCTTTAAAAAAGGATTTATATGATCTGACAGCTGCTTGCTTCTTCAGTTAAGAAATATTAGTAATAATTACATGTCCTTTTTAATAAAAATATTTATTCCAAGAAATTAAAATTAAATATATATAATACATTCAAATTTAGAAAGATTCTTCGAAGTCTCCGAGTCCTGTCACTTCGCAGCTTTAACTTCCTCTTCTTTCTTTTTGCCCTTTGCATCCTTAGGAGGTTCTTTCTTGGCATCCTTAGGAGGCTCTTTCTTCTTTTCGTCTTTCTTCGGTGGAGGCTTTTGGCCCTTCTTTGATGGCTGGCTGAGATCCACCTGTTCCTTGACCTTCTGATCGACATTAACGCATAATAGAAAGGCAGCCAAAGCAATGGACAGCACAATAGCCACATAGCCTGTGGCATATATCTCCGGTATTGTGAGAAATTTATTCAAATACCAGATCAAATGTCTTGTGCCGGCGACCGAGTGGTAAGCTAATGGCAAGGCAACCATTGCCTTGCTCATCATCATAATGTTGGGACAATCGCATTCCTCGACCTTCTTTATAAAACCCTCCATATCGCCTTGAAGGCAAAGTCCACCAATTCCTATGATCCAAACAATAAGTGATAGCGCAAAGCCACTAATTCGCAATAATGCAGACAATGTCGATGTCAACTGAATCTTGTAGATGGTCAAATGTGGCGATAACTCTCGTCCCAATAACATATTTTTATCATCATACGACAAATCGGGTGGCATACGAAAGGGTATCACTTTCAGGGTGACCGGAGGTACTATGATATTACCACCTGGGCCGATTGTCGTGGGTCCACTAGGCTTGATATCCTTTGATCCTTCGGTGGCCAGCAGACGAAACGAAATCAATGGTTTTTTAAGAAGCAGCTGCCTTAGGAGCGGAGTACGCCGTTTTAGACTGCCCGCCAGTGGGCGACTGGGAATCGTGAAATAAGTTGGGGTATTAAGTAGTTTGATTGCCTAACTCACCAAGCGTACATTTTTGATAAAATTTCAATGTGTGATCACTAAAAATATGAACAGTGGTTGTGTGTCAATGAAGTGTCACTAGATCTTGTAGAAAAGCCTATTTGTTTTCATGACAAACAGCTCAAAAGGAATGAATTCTAATGACGGTTTAGGAGAAGAATCTGAAAATTCCTGTATAATTTCTTCCTATATCTTTCTGTTAAGTTAAAATTCTGAAGATAAATGCAAAGTTGCTATTCCCTTATACATATGGTGAGTGGACTGATGGAAATTCGATTGAAAATGTAATTGTATTACCTGGCGAAGGACTTGAGGGCCACATCAGCATCCTGTGCATATGCCATAAATTTATGCGACGATTGGATGAGCTGAAATTCGATTTGACGATGGCCTGGCCATTGCTTTATTAGATTTCTATGGATTTACCTTCTTTACTCCTCCTGATTTCAATCCACCGGTTTGTTATTTTACTTTACCATCCAGCGCTACACACACTGACGGCCAAGGCTTTTTCACCCTAAAAGCATTCCTTCAACCGCTGAAATTTCATTTGCAGCTCTTTGCAATCATTTGCCTAAATAAATACGTCGCACACACAACAAAGAAACCCAGAAAACATCTATACATAAACATACATACACACTCATTCACAAAATCATTTCAATTTAATAAAATTCATTTGAGTTTTGCGTGGCTGCGGTTTTCCTTTGCTGGCTTGACACATTTCGTGTTCATTCTCTCCTTTGCTCTCTTACAACCAATTTGTGGGCCTGGGGGAGCGGGAAAGCTCAAAAAACTTCACGCTCAATTAGCATCTGTTATCGTTGCTTTCCATCCCCAAAACCAAAATTTATTCTTTGCCACACACATCAAAGACATGCACTCAGTCACTCTTTTCGCCCATCGATCAATCAATCAATCAATCATTTGCTGTGAAAACATTTCATAAATCAAACGAAACCTACGAGACATACACATACATATATATTTTCGACAAAGCACACACAAAAAAGCTGCGGTCAGGGGTGCAGGTTAATAAAAATTAAAATTAATCGAATCAGTAGAATTGTAAAATGAATTAAGGCTTAAAAGAAGCCGAACAAAGTTGGCCTTGGCCAGTGCCTGGAAAAGTTTTCATGCCGCTTCAAGTGTATGGAAAAGTTTTGTATGAATAAGGTGTACGTGTGTGGAAAAGCATGCCAAGGAGTCATTAAGCCCATATACGTATACTCAATGTAATGATAAGGAACAGGCGACTAAAGTTTTCATTTAAATCATGTTTGGTAAAAGAAAGTATGGAAAGTTAACTCTTTTGAATAAGGCAATCATTTAATATTCCAATTTTAATAAAAACATCTCACTGTCTTCTTCAATTTTATTTCAAATTATTGCTGATAAAATGAAATGACTTCCCTTTTTACAATTTGACACTCATATATGCCAACGTAAATGACATTCAATTAATAATTATTAATAATATTTTAATTTAACTAGATTATTTTTCTTTTCTCTTAGAACATTGTTAACCCTTGTCGCCTGACATAATTTCAGATATTGTAAATAAGTTGGGTATACATTTTTGTTCATATATGAATGAAAAGATGTTTTCAGCTGAAAAGCAAAATCGTAAAAGCAAAGCAAACTCTGTCCTCGCCTCTTTCTCTGTGTTTCTCCCGCTTTCTCCATCTCTTTATTTTTTTATTTTTTTGCACTCACACAGACAGAGAAGTCAGGCGATTGCTTTTGCCTTTCAAGGAACTCAATATGAGAATCCGTGTTTAATTAAGATTCGAGTTCGCATCAGTGTGTGTGTATGAGTGCTTGTGCTGAGTGTGTGTGTGTGTGTGCGTGTGCGTCTGCGTCTGAGGCATATGAATAAATGTATGAGCGCATGCATTTAATTTAATTTTCATTTCAATTGATTCGATGACTTTACGTTTCATTTCACGTCTCGATGCGATTTCAATTACAACACTCCTCGACTCACAAACACACACAGACGCACGTTCATGAAGGAAAAGCATTCACCTATGCGAGGATAGATGTGTGTGAGTGTGTGTGGCAAGTTGAGACTCAAACCGTTGACGGATTCGGGTTTATATTTACATATCATGCAATCTCAGTCAAGGACATACAAAGGGCTACTTGTATGGCAGGAAAACGCGGATATATATTAAGTTGAATTTTTAAAGAATATTTTATATACATTTTTTAAATATTCTATTAGAATGAATGCTAATTTCAAACAAATTTTTGATTTCTTAGTATCTCTAATCTAACCACTTTACTCATTACAATTAAGAGATCTTAAAATAAGTAGCCTTAGATTATTCTGTTTGAGAAAATTTCACATTTCACTTATTTCTTCTATCAGTAGTTACCTTTAAAAACAGCCTACAACTTTCTCCTAACTAAATTTACCTGCTTTTTAGCCTCATAGTCAGGCTTTAAAGTTTGCCATGCACAATTTTGGAGCTAAGCCGAAAGCTAAAAGCTAAAAGCCAGCCACAAAACTAAGCGCCTGAGTTTTTAGCCACATGATTTCGTTTTTTCTCTCAATAAGGTGGGTGACTGCCATTTAGCCCTGCATACTTCAAGGTGACCTTTAAGGTTACGGTGCCATTGTTACGCATTTTTTGTGCACCACCTCGTTGTTGCTGTTGCAAGGCTGGGACGTGATTTTCTTCCTCCACATTTGGCAGCCTAAGCTTTGGTTTTTGGAACTGCTGCAACACAAAGCCATTTTTTGCCCGCCTTCAGTTGGCTTTTCCCTTTCGCTTACTTTACTTTTTTAGACTAGCTGTGTGTGTTCTCTCTCTCTCTCTGTTTTTTTGTAACAAATGCAACGGAAAACCTATTTCCTTTGTGGATATGAGTAGGAAAATGCTTGTTAGCGCCGCATTTGCCACAATCTCATATATGTGTATGTGTGTGGTTGCAGAACCTTGAACTTGTTGCAATGGATAGGAAAACTGTTAGTTTTCCAGTACTTTTTGCCCCTTTTCTAACAATGCTAATTTCATTAGAGCAACTAAAAAGCACACATACTGGCACAGAAACTGGCACGTAAATGAGCGCAAGGACAGATCGTGGCTAGCATTCAACGTTTCCTATAAAATGACAATTACATTTTCGACAGCAGGGAAAAATATAAAAACAAAAAAGGAAAAAGGCAAAAAAAACAGGAAACCAAGGAACATCGAAGTGAAAGCAAACTTTTAATTGCGCATACGACAGGTGTGACACAGCCAACGCAGCGCTCAAGTTGTGTGAGGGTGTGCGGGTGTCTGTGCGAGTTTTTGGTGAAAGTTTTTCGAACGTTTCCATCCCAATTAGTGGGCCACAGAAAACACACAAAAACATTTGCAACTGACAAGCTTTTTGACAAACGTCTCTCGACTAATTATAAACATTAAACATCCAAAAATCCTAATTGAATAAATGTTTTTTTTTTCAGGCAATTTGTAATATATAAAGTTGGCCTAAGATGAAAATACTCTTTTAGAATTGATAACTTTAATTAATGTATTTCAGGAATTACCAATATTAGTAAGTAAAAGGAAAAGAATGAAGCTTACAAAGTTATTGAAAATCCAAAATTTTTATCTTCACTTTTTTAATAATAACATAAAACAAAATAAATACAAAAGTTTTAAATCTGAAACACATACCACTTCTTATATTAAGTGTATGGCTAACTTAACTTAAATCAGAACCCCAATCGGCACCTTGTACGTTGAGTTTTCCTTGCGGTCTGTGCCTTGTCTTAGTTGTCAGTTTGTAAAATTGAATTCTTGCCCGGTTTGTTTGGCTTTTGAGAGATTTATAACATGGCCAAGAGGTAGGGGATGCTGGGCGAGGTGGTCGAAGCGGGGGTTCGAATGGCAATGGCCGCGTATCGATAAGCACAATGGCCGGCAAAATGTGTGTGTCTGTGACAGTTACACATACAGGCGGGCAAACACACTCACACAGATACATATACTCGTATACCAATACCAACGCCCAACGGCGACAAACTTTTTAATCAAATTTTTTAACGCAATTTCTTTGACTACTTTTTTTGTGCTCTGCTCTGTCCTGTTCGCGTTCTCTCTCTATCTCTCTCTCTCTCTCTCTTTCTCTTCCTTTCTCTTTCTGGGACTGCTGTTGCATATGCATGCTCAATTGTGTTTGTATTGGCAAAGGACATGCTTTGTGATTTATACACACATCACACAAACACACACACAACAAAGAAAGGAAAGTGGGTGAAAAAAAGAAAGGGGATATGGGGTACAGGGTGGTCGGCTGCCTGTGAGCAAACAACAGCTTTTTTTGATTTATGAGCGCTTTGGGTGCCGCCATCGTCAACGACAAAAAATATAAAGAACCAACCAAAACAGCAAAGAATCGACAGCTGAATATATTGAAAGCAAAAACTTTCGTATAAGTTCAAACGGGCAACTTAATAAAACGAACAAAAAACATTGACTACAACTTTCATTTAATGAACGAAACTTTAAAAGAAGACCTAAAAGGAACTCTAACTAAAAATAATATCAGTTCTTAACTAATTAAAGTTCAAAATGAATTCTTTCGTAATTAACTTTTTATACCCTACATATACTTTCATTTTATTCTCTATTAAACTACATGAAAATATTAAATAAACAAATAAAGTTATAAACCATTAACTGACAACCAAATTAATAAAATGGTAAGAAATACAGAAATATTTCTCATATTCAATTGCAAATAGAACTTCCACAGCCACCTGCAGGACAGAGCATTTTATTTAAGTTCACAGTTAACAACAAAAAATATCCCCCTTTAATCTCAATCAAAAATCTGAACGAGTATTCGTTTCCATTTTTTAAAAACCATATAATCTATATAATATACGCTTACTTTTAAAGTTTAATCACCGATAAATTGCATGAAATCGAACGCTCAGCATGTAAAATAAATTCTGTAGAAGTGGCTCAGTTATTTTACGACCGCATATCTTGGGTATAACCATGATTTTTCAGGATATTACGTTCCCAGGTCAGGAGGTTTTTTTCATTTTATATTTTGTATATCATAT